CGGCGACGACGGGTTCTGATAATTACAGTATATGGTTGGAGCATATGCCGAATCACGGCGGGTGGAACGACTAACGAGGTCGACGAAGGAGTCAACGGGCACGGCGATCTGACCGGACGTGGTAGGCGGCGGGAGAGATGGACGGAACTGGACAGGAGACGGCGGCGTGGATATGGAATAAAAGATTGGGATGTTTTTATTTGTTTTTGAAAATTTGATATTCCTCAAGGACCTAGTTGCAATTATATAAAGTTCACTAAATTTCAATTTAATAAATGAGACAATTATGTAAGTTAATTAATGTTAAATGCATGCACATTAGTGGTATATTAAATGCACATTATACATGAGATCAAGCACATTAAAAACACTCATTATAATTTATGAAATTACATAGAGTTGTTCATTAGTCGGTTTAATTTGTTCATAAATTTATCCAAATTTCCAAGATGCCACTGCGCTACTTCGTGTTTGTAAATATTCGAACCGAATTTATTTTTTAGATTGGTTGGTTTCAGTACATATTGTGCAACCCGCTTATCATTAATGTGCAATTCGTCTTATAATATTAGACACTCATAGCGTGTATATTTTTAATGTGGTGTCCGAAATATAAAATACAAGCGAACCACAATAATTGGTTTATTTCGATCGGTTAACACGTTTATTTTAAATAGATAATTTTTTATTTATATTATATATAAGAAAATGTATTTAGTGTTTTTATATAATATTTTATATTATTTTTGGTTGATAATACATAATATAATAAAATACATTATTGTTATTTATGTTTAGCATATTATAATTCCATGAAGATTAATTTATGCACAATAATGACACATTAGATGCACAATATTATGTGTATGTGTGCACTTTAAAAATAATGTTACATGTGTATATGAAATTACTAAAACATTGATAAATACCATACTTTTTTTAAACGAATTGCATAATATCATGTATGTATGTGTATCTATCTATCTCTCTCTCTCTANAATATTGTGTATAGATATGCGTTTTAAAAGTAAAAAATAAATAATCAGAATGAAATATAAAAACATGAACTTAAAATTTAGACATAATCGGAGTAATTTGTCTGTCAACATAAGTAACCAAAATATTCGACATAAATTATATTATTTTTTTATAAAATATATGATTAGTATTTAATATGTTTTTATTTTGTATTTTATATTATTTTTTTCTTAAAAAATTAGTATGTATGTAAATAAATATTATGTGCAATCTAACAGTTATTAAGGTGCAATTTGTTCAACACTATGGTACGGGTATCGTTTTGATTAAAAAAAATTAATATGTATGTAAATGAACCACTATGTGCAATCTAACTGTTATTAAGGTGCAATTTGTTCAACACTATGGTGCATGGTGTCGATCTGTATTGTGCGTATTGAAGCAAACGATTTTTTTTCCCTTAAAACAATTTGAAATGAACATAATTAATTGTTTTTTCAGTTCGGTTAATCGAATTATCTTAAATAATTGAAATATTTTATTTATTTATATTAATATTATATTTAATATGTTAATAATTTAATTTGGCCAAATTGCAAAAACTAGCCAGTAACTTAGACGGGTTGGCAGTTTTACCCACCATTTTTTGATTTTGGCAATAATAGCCAAAACGTTTTAAAAAATCGGTCCTTCTACCCAAATCCGGCCAAACTCGTCGGAACTCCGGCTGAGGTCACAAAACTTGCCAGCGTGGACGAATTAATCCACCTCAGCTATACCGTCTATAAATACACAATCCACGTGTTTTCTCCTTCACTTTTCACACAAAAATCGGCAAAAATTCGAACAAAAAAGAAAAGCCCCAATCTTCAACCCGAAAAACCCTAATGCTTCATGCTGCAATCGATCAAGAACCCTAGAAATTAAGACGTCGATTTGATGACATCCTCAATATACTTGCGAAGCAATAGGAATCCAAACTCTTCTCCTCCAGCGTACAGTAAGATTCCTTAATTTTTCTCTATTGTTTCGCACCAGCTTGTGTGTTCATTGTAAATTTCGTTTTTTTTTTTTTTTTTTGTGACAACAATACACTATTATCAATAGAGTATACTTAAAATGTTAGAATTAAAGTGGTGGTCCTGCATTGGTTTTATGTTTGGCTTTATACAGACATGTGGGGACATAAGAAACGAAATTTTATTCATATGAAAAATTGTTCATTTTTGCTGATGAAAATTTAATTTTTTATTTATCACAGCTCGTGAGAGTGGTCAACTCAGTGTAGTTGTGTACTATGGAGGTCAATTTTCTAATGAACCTATTGCTTACTATAAGGGGGGTGATTCAGTTATCTTTGACTATGTTCATAGTAAAGGTATGAACATAGAAACTCTTTATAGTTTAACTAATGAGGCTGTTGGAAAAGGAAAAATGAGGAAACATTATGTATTGTGTGGCAATAACTTTCATGGAGTTTTCACTGATGAGGATGCTAGAGCCTGGTTTATTAAGCATCTACCTCTTAAGGAGATAGAAATTTATGTGGATGTGATACCAACTGATGAATCAATTGTTGGTAAAGACTGTAATGAGCACACTCTTCAAAACAAATCTGGTGAAGACTCTCCTGATTCTGATTACAATGTGGAAACTGAGCAAAGTAGTGATGATGATCAGCTGTTTGAGAACAATGTTGATCTTAGTGTGGACACAACAGATAAACTGTCAAAAGCATTTGCTGAAAAGGATGGTGGAGAAGAATCTGTTGAAAAAAGACTGTAATGAAGCCTCTGTTCAAAAGAGCCCTAGTGAAGACTCTCTTGATTCTGATTACAATGTGGAAAGTGAGCAAAGTGATGATGATGAGCAGTTTGAGAATAATGTTGATGACAGTGTGGACACAACAAATCAGTTGTCAGAAGCATCCCGTTTAATGGGATTGGACAATGATGATGAATTGTTTAAGCTTATTGATGAGCATTCTGGGGTGTCATCAACTGAAAATGTGGTTGCACAAGAGTGTGGCAATGACCATATTGAAAATAACTCTAATGTAGCCCCTGTTGAAAAGAACTTTGATAAAGACTCCATGGATTCTGAGTACAATATGGAAGATGACCACAGTGATGATGATGATGATCTATATCAGAATTTTGTTGATCATAGTGTGCAAAGTTCAAATCAGGGTTCAGAAGAAGAAAGTGGCCACAGTGAAGAAGATGTGGTCCATAATGGGGATGACATAGAGGATCATATTGCCAATTATGAGGAGGGAGAACACATGCCTGTATTCAATCCTGCCACTATCTTCAAGCCTGTGTTTGAGCTTGGGATGCTATTTAGTACCAAAAAAGAATTTAAGAAAGCTGTCCAAAGTTATGCCATTGAGAGTCACAGAGGTGTGAAGATATGTAGAAGTGATTCTACAAGGTTGTATGTTACCTGTGTCGCAACAGACTGCCCATGGAAAGTGCATCTAATAAAGAAGAAGAATGAAGAAACTTGGTTCATCAAGGAATTCATTTCTGAACATTCTTGTCCATCTACCTTTCAGGTCAGAAATGTTATCTACCTCTTAACATTCAGTTAAATGAGTGCACAACAAATATTGGTAGTTAATTTTTTTCCTAACACTTAAATATGGTACTTAATATTTTTTTAACACTTAAATATGGTAGCTAATTTTTTCTTTACACTTATATATGGTTGTTATTTTTGTTCATCTACCTTGCAGGTGAAAAATGTGAAGTCCTCCTGGTTGTGTGACAGATACTTGAAGGACTTTAAGGCAGACCCCAAGAGAAGTGTAAAGGGTTTCAGGACAAGCACCATTGAAGAGCTAAGGTGCCACATTTCTAAGGATCAAGCATATAGAACTAAAAGAAGAGCACTCAAAATTCTGCAAGGGTCTGCAGAAGGGAAATATTCTAAGTTGTGGGATTATTCTGAGGAACTTAGAAGATCAAACCCTGGGTCTACTATCATTTTAGGTACTGAGGCTGATGAAAATGGAAATTCAAGGTTCAACAGGTTGTACATTTGTTTTGCTGCAATGAAGAAAGGGTATAGAGATGGGTGCAGACCAATAATGGGGATTGATGGATGTCATTTGAAGGGCCCACACAGGGGTATATTGCTGGTTGCAGTGGGTGTTGATCCCAATAATAAGTGGTTCCCATTTTCCTATGCTGTGGTCAGTAGTGAGTGCACAGAGACATGGTCATGGTTCTTGACTATTATGAAGAATGACTTAGCCATGACTGACACCAGTGGTTTCACCCTCATGTCTGACAAACTGAAGGGGATCATTCAAGCTGCAGCTCAAATATTCCCTCAGTCTGATCACAGATTTTGTGTCAGGCATCTTTGCAATAACTTCAAAATAGCCGGTTTTAGGGGTTTGGCATTCACAAATGCCTTATGGGCTGCTGCAATGTCCACAACCAAGTCAGGATTCACAAATAGAATGGCAGAGCTTAAGGAGATGAACCCAGATGCATGGAAATGGCTCTCTGATAAACCACCAGAGCAGTGGTCCAAATCACATTTCAAGGATGTTCCCAAATGTGATATGTTATTGAATAACTGTTGTGAGACCTTTAACTCTTGTATTTTGGAGGCCAGAGAGGAACCTGTTATCACAATGCTAGAGTGGATTAGAGAATACCTAATGAAGAGAATGCAAGAGGATAGAGATAGAGCTGCAAGAAAGTGGAAGAATAAATTCTGTCCAAGAATAATGGAGCTTCTTGAGCTACACAATAAGGGAGTGGCTGATTGCATACCAGTGAAGGCTGATGACATACACTTTGAGATAAAGTGTAACAATGGTGCACAATACTCTGTGAACTTAAAGGATGGAGTTTGTTCATGTAGGTCTTGGGAATTGTCTGGAATTCCATGCAGTCATGCTTTGAGTGCCATTCATTTTCAGAAAGCTAATGTTGAGGACTATGTAGATGAATGCTACACAGTGTCTAAGTATATGGCTGCTTATGGGAACAATTTGTATCCCATTAATGGCACTGAACTTTGGGAGGAGAACAATTTCATACCACCACTGCCACCAAATTTTGGAAGGGGTGCAGGGAGACCTTCTAAGGCAAGGAGAAGGGAGAGTGATGAGATAGTTGAGAAAAATAAGAAGAAAAAAGGAACTTCAGCTCCTACAAAAGTGAGGAGGCAACAGACAAAGGTCAACTGCAGCAGATGTGGTGGAGAAGGCCATAATGCAGCCACATGTTCATCTACAACTAATCAACCTCCACCAGTACAAAAGATGCAGGTAATTAATTTAAATATATATACTGCTACTGTGTGTTTTAATTTCACTTAACTGTGGGTGCAATTAACTGCTATTGTGTGTTTTATAATCATTTAACTGCTACTGTGTGTTTAAATATATATACTGCTACTGTGTGTTTTATAATCATTTAACTGCTACTGTGTGTTTAAATATATATACTGCTACTGTGTGTTTTCTAATCCTTTAACTGTGAGTGCAATTACTAAGTTATTTTGATGTGTGTTTTAATTTCAGGTAAGAAGAAACAGTGGTCCATCCCTTAGAAGCCTAGCAAGTACTGTGAACCCAACTTTGTTTCCACCACTGTCAAATCATGAAGATGAAAGTATGGTGATGGAAGAAATTCCTACACAACAGTCCCAGACACCTTTGATAGCCACAATGCAAAGATCAACTCCTGGACCATCCATGTATGAGCAATTAGTCAGGGGAAACCCAGTGCAGCCTACAAGGGCCACACATGGAGTTCAAATCAGAGGGCCTCCTACATTTACAGGAGAGAGACCTGTTTTTTCTATGGGAAGCAGCATTACATTAGCACATGAAAAGGTTGTACTTGATAAGGGAAAAAAGTACTTGGTACTTAACAAAAAAAGTCATGGCAATGACAAGTGAATTTGTGTCTGTTGAACTAGGTTGATAATGGATTGTAAGGGATTTTGTACTGGTTTGTTATGGAAAATATTATAACTCTGAAGGGATCTTTTGAAGTTTGGATTTGCTTAGATATTTTGTACTGCTTGATAATGGGCTGATTTGGTTGGTAGTTTGAATGGATTTTGTAATGGATTTGCTATGGTTTTTGATATGGGTTCTAAGGAATGGTTTGATAATGGGCTGATTTGGTTGGTAGTTTTGTTATGGTTTTTGTAATGGATTTTGTAATTTGATTTGGTATGGTTTTTGTAATGGATTTGGTATGGTTTTTCATACATTTGTGTTGGATTTGGTAATGAATTTGGTAATGAATTTGTTATGGTCTTGTAAGGAATTCTAATTTGTTGGTTTTGGTATGCACTGTGTAGTGTGTGCAGTTTGTACTGTGTATGCACTGTGTATATTGTTGTGACTGATAAGGAGTTTTAGTTATGCACTGTGTATATTACTGTGTGAAGTTTGTGTGCAAAGCTGCAGCTAAAAATTTCCTAATGGTAAAACAACTAACAAGTAATGAGAGACACAAAGCACAAATATGCCACAAACTAACATTTGTTATGCCATTACAAGATCAAGTTACATCCAAATACAACAATGTCAACAACATTACAAATATGCATCAACCTAATATCAATTATTCACCATCTTTTCATCATCTGTCTGAGAGCCACAAAAGAAAAACACCAAACTCCAAATTATCAATAATGCTACTAACATCTTTAGAAGTCTTGTTTTTTTGGCACTCTCATACTTCAATTTCAGAATTTCTGCCTTCAGTTTCTTGTTTTCTTCTTCAAACTCAAAATTGAGTTTCTTCAACTTCTTGTTTTTTTCTTCAAACTGAAAATTGAGTTTCTTCAATTTCTTGTTTTCTTCTTCAAACTTCAGAACCTCGAATTTTTCAATGTCAGCACTCTTACTTGATTCTTCCATTTCATTCAATCTCCTGAGCAACCCAGGAATTATTTGTTGAGCACGGGCACAAAGAGGAGGATCGACCCATCCAAAATACTTGCATCCTCCTCCCTGAATTCCACCAAAAATAAAATACATAAATAAAAACAAAAATCAAATTCAATTACAAAGCACTTATTCATCTAAAACTCTCAAATATTGTATAACTTACAGGCCAATGGAGGCACGAGAAATATCTTCTTCCACAATTTGGAGTTTTCCACGAAGTGCGAATTTCAGCTCGCAACCCACAACGGCAATTTGGATTATCTGTGTTGTAAGACATCTCGTTCGAGCTTCACTCTTAAGTCGAATTTCTTGAAGGTTGTACCGAACAAGAAGGCTTATGAAGCATTAGGGTTTTTCGGGTTGAAGATTGGGGCTTTTCTTTTTTGTTCGAATTTTTGCCGATTTTTGTGTGAAAAATGAAGGAGAAAACACGTGGATTGTGTATTTATAGACGGTATAGCTGAGGTGGATTAATTCGTCCACGTGTAGTCCACGCTGGCAAGTTTTGTGACCTCAGGCGGAGTTCCGACGAGTTTGGCCGGATTTGGGTAGAAGGACCGATTTTTTAAAACGTTTTGGCTATTATTGCCAAAATCAAAAGATGGTGGGTAAAACTGCCAACCCGTCTAAGTTACTGGCTAGTTTTTGCAATTTGGCCATTTAATTTATCTTTTTTTTATATATATATTTTTTAGCTTGGTATGTTTTGTTCGATACGGTGCAATTTGTCGATCATTAATGTATATTTCATATAAAACTATTGTGCTATCACATGACATTTATATTTAATATGATTGAATACAATATATTGTGCCTGTTTTTCAATTAATAGTCATTTATTAAACTTTCAATAATTTATAGATTTGTCACATGTATCAAATTGAAATATAACAAAAAATCATTAAATTGCAATCAAGTCCTTTAACCTTATCTAATTCTAAAAAAAGGCCCTAATCCCAAATGTCATCTTTTACCCTACTACCCGTCTGCTCCGACAGCCACTCCGGCCAACGACTTCCGGTGTCGATGCATACTCCGGCCGGTGACATCCGGCGAGTTTCAGCTTTTTTTTTTTTTAAGCCGCCATTGAAGCTCCATAGTGCGGCGGCACCCAAGCCGTCAGACAGACACGATGCCGGCGAGAGTCGAGGAGGTGGTGAGTCGCGAGTGACGGATGATAGCGCGATTGACGGAGAACGGTGAGGGCGACGGAGACGACGCGGGCGACGGGGGACGGCGCGGTCGCCGGCGACAGGAGACGGCACAGGCGACGGTGATGGTGCAGGCGACGGTCGACAGAGCACTTCCGATCGTCACCGGAGAGATATTCTAGGCGGAGGTCAGCTGGTAGAGGTGACTATGCTCCGGCAGCGGTCTGTGGTCGACCACAAGTAGTTCAGGAGTTCGTGTGGACCAAGGTGAAGGATGTACAACAAAAGATCTGAATGTGATCAAGAATTGATCCGTTCGTGTGGTCCAGTTAATTGGTAAAATCCTCTCATAGTCGGCAATAACAAAAAAGTAAGATTTTTATCCTAAATTTTAGAATTCACTATGCTTAGAATTACTTTCTGAGCTATTCAATTAACGAAGACTTAACTGACGTTATTCGCCAAACACAACATACCTGTTAAATAGATCAACCGTCAACCCACTTTCTCCTATAAAATTGTGTGAAATAAATTCATTCAATTATTTAACAATTGATTTATGATGTCATTTCTTATGTTATATAATCAAATGGAATGTTGAAATATGCTTATAAACTAGTCTAAAGTACATGTTTTGCTTTCTAAATATTAAAGGATCATTTATCTCAACCTAAACGTATAATATTACTTTTTATAGTTACAAATTACAAATTTAATTTAATTTTAAAAATTACTTCTAAATTCAAACATTAGAAAAGATATCATGTAATGCCAGTGTCATTTTAAATATGCTAGAGTTCCCTACTTATAAAAATATCAAAAAAATAGAAAAAAACTGATTTAAATAATATATATATATATATATATATATATATAATAGTAATAGCAATTACCTTGTCAAGTATTATAGGAAAATAAAATGAGCTTTCATATCGAGTCAACCCAAAAGGAGACCAAGTAGTTTAAAATCTTTGACCAACTTTGATCAAACGAGCTTTGCAAGTGAAACACGAATGATACAGATTTTAAAATTATTCTTATCGATAATCTTACTGTTGTCAGTATTTTTATCGGAGTAGAATCGAAAGATTCGTTCCCCGGGTCGTATCGCAAGGAAGGTTAGCAGGATATTCTTGTGCGTTTATTCAATCACGAAAAAGAGAAGACAAATTCCTAAACACTCTAATTCAATATTTTGGGTTTCAATTATCAACTAATGATTTAAACTAAATAAAATGAAAGTAAAATGACAAATAAATCCACTGAATGATTAAAGAGCTAGGGAATCGGGGATTATTGATTTCGGTTCTAACATAATCACCGGCAATCAATTGCTCAATTAAAGGACTTGAATCGTTTCTCGTTCAGAGGTTCACTCTCAATAACTCTTCGTAACAAGAGAGTGAATGTAAACGATCAACTATCAATTCCAGCAACACATAGACAATACCATGACGAACAAGTCTATTCTAAACGAGCCTAAATCGACCAACGTCTCCCCTCTCAGTTCTACACGTTTATTATCTAGGTTAGAATGGTGATCAATCAACTAACCCTATAGTACACACAAGTCGAATAGATATGAACAATCAAAAGCATTCAATTATAACGAACTTAATCAATCATCCCCTATCCCTAGCAAATGGATTTAGCTACTCATAACGAATTTAACATCACAATTCATATCAACCCAAGCCATCATCATCAACAAAGTAATTGAGAAAAGGAACTTACGATTAATATAAAGAATCCAATGTCAAATCCAAGTGCATCCAAATCCAAAGCTAGAAAAAGGAGTTTCTCAATCTCCAAAACAAATCAAAAGCGAAAAAGTATGAAACGGAATGAGTTTCTCTAGAGAAAGAACGTAAAAAACAAAGTATGGAAGTGAATAATCAACACTAGGAGTGAAATCTGAAGTTAAAAACCCGCTCCTCGAAATTCGCACCGATAAGTCGCGAGTCGCGACTTCACCTTTTTCCGGGTTGCGAGTCGTGACTTACTCGCGAGTCGCGCATCGTCAAGATGTTCAATTCTTAGGGTTTGGTCACGACATAACTCGCGAGTCGCGACTCTATCTCGCGAGTCGCGACATCATGTTGCGAGTCGCGACTCATGCTCCGGACTGCCTCTTAAGCCTCAGTTTTTTTCGCGGGTCGCGACATTTTCGCGAGTCGCGAGCAATTCTGGGCGCATTTTCTTTCCATTTTTCAGTCCTTCCTTTAGTCTTCTGGGCTCGGCAACGAGTATTCTCGATATCACGGTCTCGAGTCAAGCAGTCCCAACCTAGACCGGCAAAACCTACCTCCTGAAAACACAAAAACAAGGAAAAACACAAAGCAAAACACGGCAAAAAGACACACAAATAGAAACTAAATAGAAAAACACAAAACAAACGAAATGGACCAAATAAACTACGAAAAACCTAAAAATGGGGGAAAACAAAAAGAAAATAAACATGAAATAAAGACACAAAAATGGGACAAACACTTATTAACAAATTATTAATTACACTCGAGCAAACTTAATCTAAACAAGCTACTAAATTATTGACATGAGACAACTGTAATATGTCGTGATAATTTTAAAATGAAGTCGTATGAACAAAGTAGTTACTGTTACGGGTTTTCAATTATTTACCATATGATATTCGGATTCCGAAATTAGACAATCAAAAATGGCAGACTTTTGCATGTTAACTGTTTGTCCAGTGAAAAGCTTATATTTTTCAAGATTATTCATCAAAATGGCAGCTTGATCTGGTTCTAAAGGAGATGAGAGAGCAGGGGACCATTTCTGGAAATTTTCATACCCTTAAGTAAACTAGAGTAAATGGAGTTGAGAATCAAGGCAGTGAGCAGTTCAGCAACAATGATGAAAAGGTAAGCGGATAGTGGATCCCCTTGTCTGATACCTCTTGATGGTGTGACAAAACCACTGACTGTCCCATTGATTTTAAAAGAATAAGAGGCCGTAGAGACACAAACCATGATCATCTTCACAAAATAACTATGAAATCCCAGTTGAAGCATTATTTTTCAGACAAAGCCATTCAACCCGGTTAAAAGCCTTCATTAAATCTAATTTCAGAGCCATAAAGTAGTTAGGTCCTGAGGAGTGCCTGCTTAAGAAATGGAATGCTTCTTGTGCAATTATGACATTGTCAATAAGTTGTCTGCCTTAAACAAAAGCTGATTGGAAATCACTTATACAAAAGTTCAAGCAAGCCTTAAGTCTTTGAGCCAACACTTTAGAAATGATTTTATACACAACACTGCACAGACTTATTGGTCTAAAATGCACCAAAGTTTCTGTATTCAGACATTTAGGTATCAATGATATGATAGTGTAATTCAAATATTTGAGAAGCATACCTGACTGGAAAAAGCTAAGGACAACAGTCATAAGATCCTGCTTGATTAAGCCCTAGAAATGTTGGTAAGAGATAGCACTCATCCCATCTTCCCCTGGTGCTTTGTCTGGTTGCAAACTGAATAGAGCTACCTTGACTTCTTTTTCATCTGCTGGCTTGAGTAATGCTTCATTCATGTCTGGGGTAATTGTTTGAGGGATAAGATGAAGTATAGAATCTCCACCCCAACAACCATCTGATGAGAAAAGGTTAGAATAGTAGTCAACAATGTGGCTTTCAATTTCCTACTGAGATGACAATATCCTGCCATGAGGTGAAATCAGCCTTGTGATTGCATTGTGTCTTCTTCCTTGGAGAGTGAAGGCATGGAAAAAACGAGTGTTAGCATCTCCTTCTTTTAACCTTCTTAACCTGGCCTTTTGCTGCCATAAAAACATTTCTTGCAAATGAGCTTTATTTAATTCCCTTCTAGCTGTGTCCCATGAGTCTCAATTGAGATCAGATTTATCCATGTTCAGCACTTCCAGCTTGTAAGTGAGATCAGCAATTAAGGTTTGGTTCTGTGTTTGGAAAGAGGAGCTTCAGATGAGAAGAGCAATTCTGGTCGTTTTTATTTTCTCTTTCACCTGAAAGAAATGAGTGCCTGTGATTGTAGTAGACCAGGCCTGCTGGACAACTTCCTAAAAACCTACTTTGCCAATCCATCTCTTGTCAAAATGAAACCTTGCCTTCTTTCTTTCCCTTGGTAGTCCCAAATCAAGTAGCAGTGCTGAGTGATCTGAAGAGCTTCTAATAGCATTAGTCACCAAAGCATTAGGGTAAGTCTGAAGCCAGTCACTTGACCCAAAAGCTCTATCAGCCTGCTCCTCAACTAGCTCAGAATTAACTCTGTTGTTGCACCATGTGAATGTTGGGATCTAGGAGCATCTCGATAATATGCAAGTCACAGACTATCTACGAATTAAACCATAAGCGAGGGTTCAAAGCGTACCTTTTTTTTTTTAATTTTTCTGGACTCATCGGATCGTTCTCCATTCATATTGGACCGACTCGGACCGTCACGAACTTCCCGGACCTCCCCGAATCAGCTGGACCCCTTTTGGACTGCTTTTGGGCCGAGTTGGACTGACTCAAGAAGCTGGACCGCTCTGGGGAATACACAATAGTTTTTTCAACCACCAAAACTAATAATAGCACTCCTTGATAAATCAAAATTCCCCATATTTTATTGTTTTTACTTTTTTTTTTCGTTCGTTTTCAACTTAAAATAACCAAAATATCCGAACCAACCGAATTATATAGGTTCGAGTTTAGCAGTAATTTTTAAAATAAATAAAATATCTGAACCAACCGAATTATATAGAAAATAGTTTTTTATATCTTATGTAGTGTATTTCCAGCCAAAAATACTATAAAAATTAAAATACTGAATATATTTTTATAATATAAATAATAATAGATTTTTGATTATTTTGTTAATTTGGCTAACGGACCAAATAAATCGATTATTTCATTTCGGTTTTAGCTTGAATTTGCACATAAAAAAACACACACTGCATAATGCACAATAGTATTAAACAAGTTGCATATTAATAACTGTTAGAATGCACAATAGTGTTAGAAAAAATGCGCATGAATGTGTTCGAGAGTGAACGTTAACATAACAGTGTGCATTTAAAAGATGTTATAAATTTGGTTATTTTGATCCGGTCTCAACTTTATTTAAAAAAATAAAATAACAGAACCAGTCGAACTATAAAAAAAATGTTAATTTTATATTTCATCTATATGTATTTTTTTTAATTTCAACAAGAAATAATATAAAAATATTAAATAAAAATTACATTTACTAAATATACTTTCACTATATAAAGCATTTGATAGTAATAATGTTAATTAAATTACGCATTATTTAATTTTTCTAAAATTGAAATGCACATAAAAAATAACAGATCAATGGACTACACAATAATGTATACTAAGTGCACATTAGTGTCCGTGTGAATGCACATTATCGTACGAGATAATTGAAATTTTAAAAGTAACAAATAATTGATGGGCATATAAGAAAATTGAATAAAAAATTTCTTTCTGTTGGTTTCAATCGTTGATGTGCATCTTGACATTCATCATTGTGCATCTTGTCTAACGTTGTTGTGTATTCTGAATTGAGAATATTATTTTTTGAATTTTAAAACATGGTATTGTTTATTACGATGAGCATTGTTGTTCATGTATCGGCTTTATTAATTTATATATTAAATACATTAATTTAAATGTAATATAGTTGAAATTTTAATACATCAATAGTTTTATTGTTTTTACATTATATATATATGATGTATATTATCCAAAAAGGGTAATATAAAATATAAAATATTTATTTACATTATAATATAAATAATTAATAATTTTGATTAATTCGTACAACTGACCGAATACATTGATTATATCAGTTCGTATTTTGATTCGTTTTGGAGAAAAGGTCGGTCGTTTCATTTTTTTTCCAAAAGTTCAACAAGGTTATTTAGTTCGGCTTATTTAGTTAATGAAAACACTAATCACAGTGTCGTTTTGGTAAACTTGTAAGGATACACAATACTGTTAGACGGGATGCATAATATAGAAACTACACATTAATGCATATGAGAATGCACTTAGCTTATATTCCGCTCACCGGTCTTGTGTGTGAAAAAAAAAAAAAAATAGTGAAAATATACATTGTTATGTCATTGTGCATTCTTATAAGCGTGAACGTGCCATTAGTTTATCTATATTGTGCATTACGTAGCGCGGATATTAGTGTGTACGGTTCGCCTAAAATAAAAAATCCAATCAATTTTGTTTTTTTTTTAATGTGCATATACACCCACTGCATTGTGCATCGTATTTGACAATATTGTGCATTTATTAAATTTTTATTAATTCACAAACATTAACCATTATCTAAATTGTAATATATTTAAATATTAGAAATTGCATCAAAGGCCCTAGATTTTTTTATTAATTACAAATTTGCCTCTTGTATTAAATTAAAATATAGTGAAACAAAGAAATCGTAATAAGGGCCTTGTAACTTATCAAATTACCCAAAACAACCCCACAATTCATCTTTCCAAAAATATGCAAAAATCATTCTCCTTCTTCACCACAATTCGGTTTTCATCAGCTCCAAATAGTGAATGTCGGTTTTTCGATCGACCGGATCAACGTGTAGGATCGCCAGGCATCTGGCAAATACAGTGACGGCTTCGATTTACTCGACGGATCTGCGAAGCTTAATTTCTTTCTATTACTCGGTGGAATATATTTGATACTCTCGCGACCATCCCGATGAAGTTCGACGGTTCGGAGGCTGATTACGCGGTAAAACGGTCGCGATCCGCAAGTTGCAGGTGCTATGGGCGTGGTGGCGCTGGTGGGTGTGGTGGAGGTTGTTGCTGACGTCGGTGGCACGTCGGCGATGACTTGCTCGACGGGGTCTTGACGGTCTACTGCGGTAGGCGGAGAAGGACTGTTGATGGCGGTGGCGGCATCCGGGGGTCGCCATAGGGGTCATGGTGGCCGGCTCTGATGTGTGTGTCTGTGTGTGTAGACTGTGTGTGTTGGTGGAATGTATGCGTGAGTGGTGATATTTGTGTGTGTGTTTTAGTGTGTGAGAGAGATGGTGTGGGGTCCACTAGATGAGTTATAATTTTTGTGATGACCATTATACCCCAAATTTGTGGTCAATTGCACATATTTGACCACGAAATTTCTATGTATTTACCATAATGCCATCATATATTTGGCTGACATTATTAAAGTTTGACTTGATCATTACCATTAAATTGATGATCCTATGGTCCAAATTCATTCTCATTTCTTTCGTTATCCTCTATTCTCATTGGATCCTACTTTTATATAAATATATATATATATATACACATATATGTGTGTGTGTGTGTGTATTTACTTAAAATAATATGTTTTTTTTTCACCAAAAAAACATTGGACTAAATATAAACTATGAATTTAAAATAATATGTTATTATTTTTATTTTCTATTTGCTTTTGGTATGTTTTTGTTCACTACCCGTGGTGAGGCTTTTATTTGTATTTTAAGTATTGTGATATCATTTATTGATCTTAATATATTGATTAACCTTTACTAAAAAATTCAATCAGTTATTTTATTTCAACCTAATCTATTTTTACTCTTTTTTTTTTCCAACGATATCAAATCTCCATTCAAAATCAAAATAGCCGCCCAAAGGGCAAATGTACACAGAGGACGACCCCAACAACCTGGGTAACTGAGAGGAAACATATAAGCTTCCTAAACATAAAGAAATCAAACTACAAACCCAATCACCATAACAGCTATGAAAAGAACCAAAGAACAGATTACTTCGACCATATAACAATATTCAACAGCAAACACCATAGCAACACAACGAAGGTCAAAATAGAAAGATCACTGACACTAGACCTAACCTATCTATTAAGCATTCTTGGTATCATTTGGTGTTGTTTTGGTTGAAGTCCATCCAGTCCTTCACAGCAGCTTTGATGATCCAAACCTCAGACTGCCAAATGCCTTCAAACACCCAAAGATTTCTAGCTCTCCACAACCACCACGAAATATAACTGGAGAGCTGAATCCTTGCTTCAGAAATATCCTTGGTATCCATAGTACATATCCACCACCACCACTGCTTCACAGTCATTTGCTCTGTCTGCACTCTATTCCAACTGACAGGGAACAGTTGCCAAACCATTTTGGCCTTCCTGCATAGAAATAGGATGTGCTCTTGAGTTTCCTCCTCCTCACCACAGACTCTACAAGTTGCCTCCAACTCCATTCCTCTGTACAGCAGGTTACAATGAACAGGTAAAATATTGGAAAAACACTGCCACACAAAATGTTTAACCTTGCCCATCACTTTCAATGCCCAGCACCTCTTCCTGGCTTGTCTGTTTCCCTCAGCAACTGCACTACTTTCAGCCACTACTTTCATACAAAGTCTGTCAGATAGCAATTTAGAATAAGCTTTTTTAACAGAAAATTTCCCTTTGCCAAGGAAAGGGCACTGCCAATAATCAGCAGCTCTAGGGTTCAGAGTTTTAATCAACAAAATCCTGTCAGCATCAGCTTCAGTGAACAGAGCTCTCACTAAAGTAGTATCCCATTGCACACCACCTGCCAGCATTAGATCTTTAACCCAAAACAATCTTCCATCCACCTCAGTTCTCAATTCAGGCTTCTTACCACTCAGACCTGGCACCCAGTTCACCTCATTCAATCTAGTACTTTTCCCATTCCTAATCACTAAATTTACCTGTTTCTGCAAGTCAGGTAGGAATGTTGCCCATGAGCTCCACAGCCAAGAAGCACTCCCAGTATTTCTCCATTCAAAGATAGAGCAGTCATTAAAGTACTTACTCCTTAGAACTCTACACATCAGCATATCTGGTTGCTCAAGAAGTCTCCATAGCTGCTTCAATATTGGTGCTTTGTTGAAGAGTTGAAGGTCCAGAAATCCAAGTCCCCCTTCCTCCTTTGGCACAGTCAGTTTATCCCATGATAGCCAATGCATATTCTGCTTCTGAGACTGCCCCTTATTCCACCAGAATCTAGCCACTAGTCTGCACACTTCTTTACAGCAGCTAACAGGCAGCACAAAACAAGACATGACAAAAACAGGTAAGGCACAGAGCACAGACTTCACCAAAATTTCCCTCCCTGCAGTAGACGGAAAATTATTTTTCCAGCTGCAAATTCTGTCTTTCACAGCCTCAACCACATACTGGAAAGTTTCAATCTTTGAAGCCCCAATACCCAAAGGCAGCCCTAGATACTTAGAAGATCTCTTCACCACCACCCCATCAAGAATAGAAGATATCCTGGCCTGCAATCCTTCAGTACAGTTTTTGCTGATAAAAAGAGAGGATTTGTGCAAGTTAACTTTCTGCCCTGTAAACTTTTAGTATTTGTGGAGAATTTCAAGCAGCAACTCTGCATGTATCTCATCAGCTTTACAGAAAATTAGGGCATCATCTGCAAATAGCAAATGAGATAGAACAGGACCATCCCTAGAAACTTTGATACCCTTAAACCACCCAGCATTAATCTTATGTTGCAAGAGAGCTGAAAACATCTCAGACACCAAAATGAAAAGTGATATAGTCATATAAGGATAACCCGATCTAAGAAGCTTCCTACTCGACCGGTGAGCCATTTGAACGACTCACATATCAAGGTGACTCGCCAACATGTTCAAATCGACTTCCTCGAAGTCGACTCTACCAGAAACAATCAAGAAGAGGCAGAAATCAGTCTAGTCGACTCCCTTAGGTCGACTTCTAACTATCGACTTTTGCTAAGTCGACCTCACACTAGAAGGACATCAAGAATACAACTCCCAACCATCCAGATACTCTAAGTCGACTTCCACTGGTCGACTTCCTCATGACGACTCCCTAAGAGACGACCACCGCAGGGAGTTAAACCAGGTGTAGCCTCTGAAACCGCATACATTCGTAAGTCGACCTCTTAGTGCTCGAGGTCGACCCTGTACATCTCGATGATCAAAGTAGTGAAGACGATTCACCACACTTGCAACATATCCAAAGCTTCACACATTATCAAGGATAAGAAGGAATCTTACGATGACTCAGCACCAAAGGGGAGACGAATCGACAGGGGCATTTTGGACCTTCTAGGTCCACCGACTTGGGCATTTTGGGCACTTCACGTAAGTATGCACTCCTATATAAAGGAGATGAGGTAACCCTAAACCCCAACTCTGATTCATTCCCATTCTCCCCCATAGCTGCTGCGCAGCCCTTCTTCATCACTCACATACTGACTTGAGCGTCGGAGGCTCTACGCCGGAAACACCTCCGGCGTTGAGTTTTTGCAGGTATTCTCGCGGCCTAGCAACGAATTGGAGGCGGTTCAAGCAGATCTGAGCTCACAACCACCGGTTTACTTCAGATCTGGAAGTAGACCCAATATTTGGCGCCGTCTGTGGGGAGTTCTTAAAGGAAGGAAGAGCTTCACACCCAGCTCCGATCTGTTTACCGATGGCGGAGAAGGAAGGCTTGCAGAGGAACTTGAGCGAGGAGTTCAGAGGGACGTGGATGGACAAGAGGCCACCGCCGCTTTCCACCAACAAACACCCCGTAATGCAGATGATGGGAATGCCACCTTTCGGAGGACTTCCACCACCCGGGCTGACGTTGGGCGGAGAAACGCCTGTGACTCCAACCGGCGTGAAGCTACAAGTGTTGACTCAGGCAGGAACAAGTCAAAACCCTAACCCAGATGGGGAGAAGGAGCCAACGGAGGCCTCTCGACGCGAGGGAAAACAGATACAGGAGGTTCCGGAGCAGACACAACCCCGTGTCGAGGAACAGACTCTGACAATGACGAGGAGTGAGATGCAGAAGATGATTGCTGAAGCCGTGGCGGCCCAGATGAAACAGATAGCGCCGGTAGAGCAGCAGCCTCGAGTCGAGTGCCCACCTCGAGTCGAGCACCAGCCCCGCGTCGAGTACCCCCTCGAGTCGAGCAGCAGCCGCGTGGCGAGCAACAAGCCCAGTCGAATGTGCAACAGAACAGAAGGGTAGATGAAGAGGAATCGTCCATTCGAACCGTTAATCCACAGGCAAAGGACGAAACGTTGGAGCAACTGCTGGCACAGGTTCGCGACTTGCAAGCTCGAGTCGACGGGAGGAAGAGAAGAGGAGCCAAAGAACACCCATTCTCACAGCAGATCCTAAGAGCCGACTTGCCCAAAGGCTTCAGGGAATTGAACATATGGTACGATGGTACCACTGACCCGTCTCGACATTTGAGGAGTTTCAAAAATATGGCCGTGCTTCATCATTACAGTGACCCAGTACAATGTCGCGCCTTCCTGACGACTTTGACAGGATCGGCACAAGATTGGTTCCACCAACTTCCAGCCGGGTCGATTCGGGATTTTGATGGATTTAGCTCGAGTTTTCTTAACCAAGTTGCAAGTGTGAGGGTGCAAGAGAAATCCTACCTCTCGTTGATTAGCATGCAACAGAAGAAAGGCGAGTCGTTGCGAGAATATGTGGCAAGGCTTACCAAGGCGTGCGTCGAATGCCCCACAGCAACAGAGGAAATCAAATTGGGAGGACTGACGAGAGGGCTGCTACCAGGATTGTGTAAGAATTCATTGGCCAAACGACCTGGTAGGAGTTTCGACGATGTGCTGGGAAGATGTGCCAAATACATGAACGTCGAGGAGGCCGAGGCCGACTACTTGCAGAGCATGAAGATGTCTCAAACTGACAGTCGAGACGACAAGAAGGAAAAGAAGGGTCAGTCGACAGGAGATAGAAGGGGATCCCCGAGGGCTGATAGGGGTGAAGGCAGGTCTAGGGGATGGAGACCAACTCAATACACACCTTTGTCGGCTCCCCATGCTAGAATTCTGGAGGTTATGAAGAGGGAAATCCGCGACGATGTGGTTAGATGACCGCGGACGAGGAAAGATGGGCCTTTGAAGCCCAAAAGCAACCTATACTGTCGATTCCACAAAG